TCCTCTAGGGCCCGGCCTCTCTAACCGTTGCATAGTGCAGCTACTTATGCTTGCTTTATAAAATGCAAAAAGCTCAGATTCTAAGGATTCCTCATTATCTTCACCCTTGTTTCACCACCCTTGCCTTTAAGGACCATTCTGACTGTACTTCTATCAAGACAGCCAACCCGTGGTTCTGTCCGTATTGTTTGCCAGCACCATTAATTCAAGCGCATCAGTTCTTCTTTGGTCTTCCTTATTCAACGTCCAATATTTACATGCACAATTCAAAGTACCATGGCTGTACTTCTTCCAAGACAATTTGTTTATTCTTCTGCCATTCCATGTGTATGCCATATTCGTAGCTAATCCCATAATTCCATGTTTTTCATCTCCCTTCATGTGAGGAAATTGGGCCAGGTGCACCGGAGTCTTCAAGGTGCCATCTCTGCTTTTTAGTTCTTCAGAGAAATCTTTTGCAGCAAATGTACCCGACACAATAGATATTCTTTCCTTTCCTAATTGCTACTTCCATGGGCACAGTGCAACGAAATCCTTGAGAGTGTCAATCTTTCTCTGTCTACGTCCAATTCTGAGGATTTTGGTTTCTCTTTGTTGCGGCATCATTGGTACTGCAGATGGTCGTCTTTGGGCTTCATCAGTAAGTGCTTCAAGTCCTCTTTACGTTCAGCAAGCAAGGTTGTGTCATCTGCATCCGGCAGGTTTTTAAGGAGACTTCCTCCAGCCTTGATATTGTCGTCATCTTCAGGCAGTCTAGCTCCTCAGCTTAGTTGCTTAGCACGCAGATGACAAAGAGTGTGGTGGAGCGCTACAACTCTGGGCACAGCTTTCCGGATTTACATCACCCAGGAGAGCTGCCTCCAGGTCTGTCTGCAAGTTCAGCACAAGCACAGTTAAGTATTTTGGATTTGTATTCTTTGTCAGCATTCCATAATTTGTTATGACTCACACAATTTTATACTCATGCATCATCAATAGAACGCTTAAACATCTTTCTGGTATTTTCTTTTTTCAGCAGAGTCTTCTGACATCAGTAACGATAGCTTTCATTGCGTGCCCTTTACTGAATCTGGCTTGATTTTTTTTTTTAAGTCATTTTATTGGGGACTCACACAGCTCTTATCACAACGCCTACAGGCATCCATTGTATCAAGCACATTTGTGCATTTGTTGCCATCATTCTCAAAACATTTGCTTTCTACTTGAGCCCTTGGTATCAGCTCCTCATTCGCCACCCCTTCTCTCCCTCTTGGACCCCTGATAATTTGTAAATCATTTTTTTTTCATGTCTTATACTGACCAATGTCTCCCTTCACCCATTTTTCTGTTGTCCGTCTCCACAATGTAGATTATTGTGACCAGTCCTTTCTTCCACCCCCAACTTCTCCTTACCCTCCTGGTGTTGATACTCTTCATTGGTCCTGAGGGGTTTATCTGTCCGGGATTCCCTGTGTTCCCAGGCCTTCTCTGTACCCGGGTGCATCCTCTGGTCTAGCCGCATTTGTAAGGTAGAGTTGGGATCATGATAGTGGTGGGGAAAATTGTATGTTTGTATGGATGTATGTTTGTACGTTTGTTTGAAAGTTGTATGGGATCATGATAGAGGAAAGTTGTATGTTTCATCGTGCTATACTGCACCCTGACTGGCTCGTCTCTTCCTTGTGACCCTTCTGTAAGGGGATGTCCAATTGTCTACA